TAACATATGGCTTATATCTTAAATGTGTTTTTAAAAGATTATATATTCTCAAATTGATAGAATTATAATTTCCCCCATTTAAGGGTTACATAATTAAATATAGGCACGTAGTTTTTGTGGAAACAGATACAACATGATCTAGAACATTGTAAGTAAAATATTCCTGCTCAGAAAAAAATAGATAAAATTCAAAAAGGTCCTTCCACATATAACACTTCCATTTTTTCAGTAACAAGTTTGAGAATTCCTTACTAATATCAACCATTTTTAAGGACTCTCCATTTATAGTAATTGTACTTTCAGTATTCAGTTAAATGAGAAAACACATAATGATAAAAGCTTCTATAAACCCAGGAATGTTCTGAAACTTATAGCCATTAATCAGCACGTACTTACGTATACTTAAAAATAAGAATACAAATATATTTGCAATATAAACAATGTTTGTAGTGGAAACACTCCTTTGCTCCACTACCCCAACCTCCCCACCATGCTCTCCAGTTTGTTTCTGTTATATATTTGGTGGTTCAGTATCTCAGAAACTGATCCAATATTTAGAGTAGAAAATGGACTTACTGAAAGGGGACAGTCTTAGGCAAAATGCAAACATATATACATATATGTGTTTGCCGGGTGTATTTATTATATATATGTTGCATAATATATGTACTCTTGACAAGGGAATCATAGAACTTGGAGATATTCCAAAGTTTATCTGGGCTATTTCCTATAATGCAATAGAATAGTATCTAGATCATTCATAACAGAAATAGCTGAATGATTTAGGTGCATTCAGCAATGAAAGAATGTTATTATTTTATAGTAGCTTTAACACAGGAGAAAAAGTGTTTTCCCTATAATTATGATTATTGCCATTAATATCTCCAAGGTTTTTGGTTTTCACTCTACTACCTGTAGGTGTGTGGAGGAGTGCAAAAATCTAGTCCCTGTCTATTCTGCAACAGAACAGCCTATCAGATCATTTCCCAGTTAGAAGCACCTGCCTTTCACTGATTCAAATCATACTTTAGCCCTGGGGCATTCACTTATGGCATGTTTTTTGTGATGATGGTTTATATCAACTTGGGTTTTGCATGTAAATGCTCGTCATTCTTAGAACTTCCTCCCCCACCTTATCTAGTTATGAAAAGCAAAACATCAGTGATTCATGAGAACATAACCCTGAAAACCTCCCCATTTTAGAAACTGCCTTAGTTTTGCAAAGTATTTTATAGAAATACTATGTTCATATTTTAATAGAAATATAATCTAGACAAAACCAAAAAGCAAACTTCTTTCTAGGTAAACTTCCCTATGAGGACTCTGCTATTACATTTTCCTCCTCTGTAGTTAAGTTTCCTATATCTTCGAGCTTTAGTTCTAGAGTTTCAGATGTTGTAAGGCATTTTAAAAGAATCATCAAATAATAGCTGCTGCTCTAAGACCAGGTTTACTTAGATTGTCCTGACTCTGAACTTCTGAATCCTATGTGCACCTCCTTCTTAATTATGTAAACCCATGACCCTCTGGTCTCTACCTCAAGTTCCTTTCTGCTCCTAGCCCTCTACGAACAAGTCTTTTTATTCCCTATGTCCCAAAAGAAAATCACTCTAGTTTTGAAGACTCGTACTTTGCTGATCAACTTCTTTACCTAGTCATCCTCCAAGACACATAGTGGTAATTTGATTAGTAGCAACCTGCCCAGGATAGCAAAATGCATGTCCACTTTAATTTCTGTACAGTCAGCTTACGTGGTATGCCTCAGGGAGAGCTCTAAGCTACATTTGACTTTAGATTCCCTTGTTAATTCAACAATTAAGACTAATCTGTTACATATTACAACTTATAAAAGACTATTTCCAACATTTTTTTTTTTTTTTCCAGACAGGGTATTGTTCTGTTGCCCAGGCTGGAATGCAGTGGTACAATCATAGCTCACCTCTGCCTTGAAGTCCTAGGCTCAAGCAATCTTCCTGTCTCAGCTTCCTGAGTAGTTAGGACTACAGGTGTGCATCGCCATGTTGCCTGATCTGGCCTCAAACTCCTGGGCTCAAGCCATCCTCCTGCCTGGTCTGTGTTAGGATTACAAGTGTTGGGATTACAAGTGTGAGCCACCATGCTCAGCTATTTCTTTTTTTTTTTTTTTTTTTTTTTTTTTGAGTCGGAGTCTGGCTCAGTCGCCCAGGCTGGAGTGCAGTGGCGCGATCTCGGCTCACTGCAAGCTCCGCCTCCCGGGTTCACGCCATTCTCCTGCCTCAGCCTCCCGGGTAGCCGGGACTACAGGCGCCCGCCACCTCGCCCGGCTAATTTTTTTTTTGCATTTTTAGTAGAGACGGGGTTTCACCGTGTTAGCCAGGATGGTCTTGATCTCCTGACCTCGTGATCCGCCCGCCTCGGCCTCCCAAAGTGCTGGGATTACAGGCGTGAGCCACCGCGCCCGGCCCTATTTCTAAGACTAGTATGGCACAATGGGTACTCAATAAATATTTGTTGAAAGAATGAATGAATCAACTTATAGTCTTAGATGGAAAAGCCAAAGGATCAGATCTCTTTTCGGTAACCACAGCGCTGGATTGGCGAATGCTGCCTTCTATTTGAAATCGTGTAAAATTCTTCTTTCAGATATAAACTAAAATCAAAGACAACCTCTGAATGCCATCCCATGAAGCAATCTACTATTGCGATATCAGGTGTGGCTTCTACCACCACAGCCACCGTCAATCTACCTTTTTTTTTTTTTTTTAGATTCTGTCACCCAGAATGGAGTGCAGTGGTGTAATTTTGGCTCACTGCAGCCTCCGCCTCCTGGGTTCAAGCAACTCTCCTGCCTCAGCTTCCCGAGTAGCTGGGAGTATGCCACCATGCCCATGCCACCATACCTGGCTAATTTTTGGATTTTTAGTAGAGATGGGATTTTACCATGTTGGTCAGGCTGGTCTCAAACTCCTGGCCTCAAGTGATCTGCCCACCTTGGCCTCCCAAAGTGCTGGGATTACAGGTGTGAGCCACTATGCCCGGCCTTCATCCTACATTTCTCTACTCTTTTTCTGTCTCCTCTTATTAAAATCTGAACTGATCCAGAAATCTTCTAGTCCTTGGTGTGCGTGTGCACATACACACACACACACACACACACACACGTACATATTTTCTTGATCTTCGTCCTAATGAAAAACATGTGGAGCATAGCAAGAAATTCCTTCTTATTCTACGAATAGCAATTCAAGGGATGGTTTCCAAAGAATTATTAAAACACACGCAAGAATTCACATTATACTCCAGTGGGTAGTAACAAATTGAAAACGTTATCAATGCTTTATAATGTGGGGAAAACCCTGAGTATATAACAGTCTTGGGCAGTGAAAAAGAAATAACCCAGATTCCACAATTTGAACTGCTGACCTTTTTCTGTAGCTGACCAACATTTTTCACCTCACTTATTTACTAATTTATGATTTTCTGACGCTAAATTTTGCATCCCTTTGGTATAAAGTGCCAGCGTACCTAGAAAATATTTTGGCATTTTACATGCTAGTTAAAATATACCCTCACATAGTTTGTGTCTTTGAAAATAATTTAGTACCCTATGATTAATACACCAGACTCATATAAATATAAATAGACATAAATACACACATATATATGTTTCGTCTTACTATAATCCATCTGAGGTTAACTGAGAAAATCCCCATATAACAAACATATGTACAAGTCCCAGCCAATGATCCATTCTAGGGAATGTTAAATAAACCAAATCTGGTTTGGCCAAAGAACTTAGATAGTCCCTTGGAGTTTTCTGCTACATCAGGTGTAACTGAATGTAAAATTTTCTATCTGGAATTTCAGGGGCAATTAAAACTCTTTAATAATTCTTTTTCCCTTTGGCTGTACCTTTATTGGTTGGCAATGAATGACTTGGCTTCTGACCAGCATAGGAAAAAAAAATACTTTTTTCTCAGAAAACTTGTGATGACAGCTGTCATTTTCCAGCTCTCCGATGCCAATGGGAATTGACCCCAATAGTCATAAGCAATAAAGTTCTGTACAGAGAAAATCCTATTTAATGGAGGAGCATTTTCCATTAGGAAATTCCTTCTAGTAACAAATAACTAGAAACTACTCTTTGTTCTCTTCACAGGGCCTAGTCCCATGACAGGCCCTCATTCCAGGCCCTACCACGGTGACATCTCTATTGTACCACCAGCTCCCCAAAGTGGTGACAGGAGCCCTGGGCCTGAGTTGCAGCAGTGACTCAGCATGCCCCAAATGTCTCCAAGTTTCCAAGGCCACCCCACAGTTGTATAGTAGCTCCAGTCAGGCTCCTGGGGAGGTCTGTCTGACCTCATTACCATGGAGCAAGACAGGATTTTGTAGAACATTCTTTCTTCAGTCTCTTTAAAGAGCACAAGCCAGGACACACACAGACTAGAAGCTGGTTTCTAGGAAATTTAACCTCTCAAAATATGGGCATCATTGATTGTCCCTGATATAGTCATTCTCCAGCTGCCACTGTATGAAAACAATATCCACAAAAGATGAAAGACAACTTTGAATGACTAGCACTGGACTCAGGACTAATGATAAGAGTATTAAAGTCACACATCAGCCTACCCGAAGCAAAAATTTTCTTCCCTGAAAGAGTTGAGAAGTGTCACTGTCCAGTGAGGCATTTCCTTTCAAACTAAATCCAGTTAAGAAGCTGGGCTGCTGGCCATAACTCCTACAGAAACTAACATATACTTCTGTGCCTCTGACAGCCCGGCCCAGTGATGAGTACACAGTCGTAATTGAATTGCATTTGATGTTGTTTGCACTAACACAGCACCAGACTTCAGGACAAACCACAGCTCTGCAGAGCAGAGGTCTGGCCCACTCTCCCCCCACCCCAGCCCCCGTGGCTTGGGTCTGCCCTTGTTGTTACGACCTGCCCGAGGTTTCATCAGCATCACCTCTGACTCATACTTCGCATTCAATAGCAAGATGAATTCCCCAGCAATGAGAGCCTGGAAGAGGGCCAGCCTGTTGGTACTAAAGCAGTGCTGGCCCCAACGCAGCTGGCTGGGCCAGACATTGATGGGAAATGGCTGACAGCAGGATAAACAAGCAGCTCCCTTTTTGGTGAGCTTCAGAGGAAGCAGGTGGACAGAATCAAGGCTTCAGGTATGCTCTTCAGAGGCTCTGTGGAGTAGTGGGAGGCTGTAAAACAGCGTGGGAGATGGTTGTGGTTCTCCCCCAGGAAAGGCACCGGCAGGGAGAAAGGCAGATTGGCAAACAGTGTGGGCCCACAGTGTGAGCCAGGGGAGAAGCCATCAGGGGACACATCAAGCCGTGAAAGGCAGCTGGTCAGGGACCCCTCAGTTCCCCACCGTCCCGCAGAGACATTGGGGGCAGTGTCTCTGCCTCCCTCCCTCACCACCCAAGCTGCTCCACAAGAAATTCTGAGCCCCACTGGGCAAGTGGAGGGAACCACATGCCTCAAGGTGGAGAAGTAGTGGAAGGTCTAACTAGCAGTACTGTGGAAGAGCAACATAGACAAGAGGTGTAGAATTAGCTGGGCAGGGTGTGTGAGTTCCTCCTGGTGCCTGCATGCCTGAGAGGACGTCATGCATTGAGCTTGGTTTAGGTTTTAAGGCAGTTTTGGTGTTTGAGGCTTATTTAGCACACATACGTCCAAGGTAGCGTCAGAAAGAATTATAAACTTCGTGTGACTTTTCAAAACAACCCAGTGAGCCCAGTGTTGGCAAATAGCAGTCAGCCGAGATAAGCAGCCATTCTAGGAGCAAAGGCCCTTGTGCCTGGAAAACAAGAACAAGCACGAGCGAGAAGCAGGGCAATGCAATCCACAAACACAATTCATGCTTTACAGCTGTGAGACAATGCTTCTTTTGCTTGGACCTCAGGCTCTGCAAGCTGCAGCACAGAGGAGGGTAAGTATGCAGTGGCCCCTAGAGAAGAGTGGTCAGTAATAAAATTGCACCCCACTTTACTTGCCCCTTTGTGTCCCTGGGTCACTGCCAGGCCTGTCCCAATCCTGCAACATGTGGAAAGCCAGTGTGTTCAGATGGAATAATAGGGGATGCGACCTAAAGAGATTACTAGTAAGATTTTCCAGAAAAAGAAAAATCACTATTTTTTAAGCATGAGCAGGGAGAAAGAAAGTTTCTTTGTTTCTAATTGGAAAGCTTTGCAAGCTATTGACTTATTGAGAAAAATGACAATTGGGTACACAGCTTTGACTTCTGGTGATTTCTGACACTTTCCTCGAAAGCCTAGCACTCCAAATTGAGGGCCCCAGGATTGGCTGTTTTACAGAAGCCCTTATGTATTGAGGTCTTGTATGAAGTGAACCCACGTAAGATGGGGAGGGGTGACAAATGTTGGCTCAACCTCAATCGTCAGATTATGGTTCAAGGTCATTTTCTTAGAGATAGTGAGTCTTCAGAAAACCTTTGAGTAAAGGCAAATGAAAGGCTTGGGTCTAAAAACAGTCTTCCAAAAGTGGAAATAGGACACAGGAAGTGGAGAGTTGGAAAACAAAACAAAACAGATGAGCTGGAATGAAAAGAGCAGAGAGAGAGCAGAAAGACGGGGAGAGACTCTCTAAGAAGAGCTGTGAAGGAAGAGGATTGTGGCCTCTTGGCTTTATTTTCAGTTAGTGCCTCACACAATTCATAAGGTGAGGCTCCCACACATTCTGGCCTGTTCGCCCCAATTGTGGGGGTGGGGAGGTAAGTGAACTACACCCGGACTTCTTGCAGCTGTCATCTCAATATCAGGTATCTGCGAGGTGGGGAGAGAGGTGGGAGGATTGATAAGGGGTTGTATAATTACTAGGAACTCCAGCCAATGTAACACATGCTTATGTGGGCCTATGTAGTTAGGTTTCACAATCCCTACTGACAGTGCCAGACCCTGAACTAAATACTGGGGATGTCGAGATCAAGAAGGCATGATTCCTGCCCTTAGGAGTGCACCATCAAAGGAGGTGAGGAGTGCATTTCCTCAAAGGAGGAGACAGATGAGAAAACTAAACATTTTGATTCAGTATGTTTTGGGATGCAGGTAGGAACCAGGGCTGCAGGGCCAGGGAAAGGGGGCACCTCCCCCAAAGACAAAGGTCCTATCCTCAGTCCCACAGAACAGCTTACAAGACTCCTCCTCAGGTGCAGCTGGGTCGGAAGGTACGGCCATCTCCAGCTGTCTCCTACATCGCCTCTATTTTCTTACTGTCGCCTTCTAGTCTAGGTCTCTCCAATCCTATACACTTCGTTTCCAGCTCTGTTATGCCTTCAGGCTACTGGCTGAGCCTTTTTCTTTTACTGCTAAAGCATAGCATACATTTTCCTACATTTCCTCCCTACCCTCTCGTTTTTCACCCACCCCTTGATGTCAAGTTCCTCTCTGTACCGCTTTATCATAATCTCCCTCTTGAAGAAGAACCACCAGTGATTTCCTCATCACTAAATCCAGTGATCCTCATTGATGTTGTTATACAGAGAGCTGACTGGTAACTATCACACTACAAGCTAAAACTCTCCCCTCTTTCAGCTTCCCAGGCCTGTCTGCCCTTGTTCTTCCCGCAGTTCTCCTGTGCTTTCTTCATTAGCACCAATTCCCTTTCCCATCTCATAAGTGGGGGTGTTCCCCAGTGAACAGCCGCAGGGAGTGCACCTTCATCCAGAGTACCAGCTCTTCTCCCTGCTGATGACACCCAAGTCTTTTTCTCTAGGTCTGATCCTTCACCTTATTTCCAGTCCAGAATTTCTAATCATGTACTGGTCAGGTTCACATTCATGGTCATCTGTCTCTCAGGGTTCCTAGCACAGTACATTGCATAGATATGGACACAATAATATTATATATATATATATAAAATACAATAATATTAAGCTTAATGATGAGTGAACGAATGAACAGATAAAACATCCCAGTCTCCTTCAGAAAATCCCACTTTGTCACTTCTGCCTTTCTTTCCTGACCATGGTTTCCGGCCTGTTATCTTCCAAGAGACAGAAAATTTATTATTATTTTCCTAGAGGAGTCTCATCCCCAAAGCCTGGAAATGGGGCTTTGTATTATCCATCTAAAGATGAGTATCGTTGTCTTTCACCCCTCCATTCTCTTTTCAGTGCCTCATTTTCTTTCTTGGTGAAATGGAATAAAAGTGATCAGCCCTTGTGACAAGTCATATTATTCATGGTAACATTGTTTTGTCTTGTAAGTGACATCAGGACTCACATATGAACTGATTTATACCCCAACTTCAAAATGCCCTTTTTCACAATCTTTAACCCCAAAGCAACAGTAATAGCTGGACTAATAGCACTTGTAGTATGCCAGGCACTGTGCTGGGCTAAGTGCTTTACATGTGTTATCTTTCCAAATCTTTTCCAAAACCTTATAAAGCAGAAACCATTTCCACAGAAGGAAACTGAGGCTTAGGGAAGTTGAAGTAACTGGCTCAAGGTAAGTGGTAGAGGCAGGGTTCAGGGAAACATGAGAACATCCCACTCTTAACCCCTCACCACACAGCCTCTTGTGTCTATTGGATTCAGTTACAGGGGGCTTGAGTCGGTTCACGTCTACAAATAATTGAATGTCTGTTACCTGCTGAGCATTGGGGGATACAAAGGTTTAAAAAGATCAAGTCCGTGATCTCAAGGAGCTTACAGTCTAGAGGAAGAGAACCAACATGAGACTGATGCCTGTGCAGTGAAATGAGACTTTTGGATGAAAGGGTTACATTTACACAAAGCACGCACAGTTCAGTATTACATGTCCCTGCCCTTGAAGAAGATCCCAGCTGCTAGAGTTTTGACTATGCAGTGTTTCAGATTTAGTTTCCCCTCCTCTTTGATCAGGCTCCTCTGTCTTTCTAAAGCTCATACTATACATATAATTTCCATTCAAATTCAAAATCTTTCCAATTATTGTAGTGAATGCAATGTTATTCAAGGATTTTTTTTCCTGAAAGAGCACCTATCTGACATGCATTTTTAATTTTATGTGCAATATGCAAATGTCATCACTGTAGTTGTTAACCGCAGTGCAGGATTGCAATTAACTATGGAGCTGTGCATTTTAGTTATATGCTAATGCTAATGAGATTTTCATAAAGCAAGTCCAATTACCAGCCCTATTTTTTAACTGCAAGAGCTAGTGCAAAGCAAAGGTGTTGACTTTCTTTAGAATAAATTACCCTTTGTCCTTGGCTCCTTCATCATATTCAATCATCCTAAAAAGTAACTCCTGCTACTTTGAATATTGTATCCTGCCTTGCTCTCCAGTACAATATTAATGGAGACTGTGGGCAAAATTGTTTAGAAACCAATTTACACTGCACAGGCAGTGGGAAAACTTCCTCCAAATGTAAACTGCTCCAACAGAGGAGCAGAGCTTTGAATACTCAAAGTAAACAGGACCTAGAGGAGACTGAAGACCCAGACAGTGAGTTAGCAAAAATAAATCACAACAGAGCATGTATGTGGTGTAACCTTGCACAGAGGAAACATGAGCAGTGAATGGGTATTTAAACTCAGATTTATGATCAGCTGTGTCACTAGTGGAAGACAACCACCTTAGCGGGATATTCATTCATTCATTCATTCATTCATTCAAGAAACAAGTTACAGGGGCTACTGTGTTCCAGACACTAAATTAGACACTGAAGGTTCAAATATGAATCATATAGGTGAGGAGAGACAGACTTTCATATTTTATTTCTGTACTAATTGATTCTTTTACAAAAAGAAAGTGTCTGTGAATTACTTGGGCAGTGAAAGAATGAATAAGCACAGTGCCTGCCTTCAGTGAGCTTATTGTCAAGTAGTAAATAATTTTAAAAGGACACAAACATGTAAAATAAAGTGTGACACATGAGGCATTTTTAGAGAGGGACAAAATGAAGGCAAAGGTCAGTTTGGAGAAGGAAGGTGATGGGGGGAAAAGCTTCTTAAAAGATAAGGAGATTCTTGGGCTGAACCTTGAAGGTGGATAGGTATTGCTAGAACAGGGTGACAGGTCAGTCCAGAAAAGAACAACCTGAAGAAAGCACAGCAGTATGCAACAGCCCAGGTGACTGTAAGTGATCCAAGGTCCCTGGAAGCACAGGGTACGCAGCAGAGCCAAGATGAAAGGTAAAGTTGGAAAGGAGCCACTGAGAGGTTTTCAGCAGGAGAATAAACAATCAGACATGCCTCTTGGGTAGCAAAGTGGAACAAGGGTGAAAGGTGAGTGGGTGGGGGCAAGTAAATCACCACCCACAGGAACCACTTCTCTGTTCAACTCAGACCCTGAGACAAATGATCAGGTTTTATTTCCCCTCAAGACGTTTCCTGTGCCCCTGTGGAAGGCTATGAAACAACAAAGTACTCTTTATTTTTAATATTTTTTTCCAGAAAGAAAATATGGGAGAGAGGGAAAAAAGCTTGATGACGTTGATACACAGTTTGAGTGTCTTTTTTACTCTGGATCAACTTTGAACCAAGATGAAAGAAGCATAGAAACAAAACCACAAAAGAAGAAAAGGTGAGAAAAATAAGGGGAGAGAAGATGATAAGAATAGTACCAGGCTGGGCTCAGGGTTTCACGCCTGTAATCCCAGCACTTTGGGAGGCCAAGGGCGGGTGGGATCGCCTGAGGTCAGGAGTTCGAGACCAGCCTGGCTAACATGGTGAAACCCCTTCTCTACCAAAAATACAAAAATTAGCTGGGCGTGGTAGTGCGCACATGTAATCTCAGCTACTTGGGAGGCTGAGGCAGGAGAATCGCTTGAACCTGGGAGGCGGAGGTTGCAGTGAGCAGAGATCGTGCCATTGCATTCCAGCCTGGGTGACAAGAGCGGAACTCTGTCTAAAAAAAGAAAAAAAAAAAGTATCAAAAATGAGGTAGAATTAGGTCTGGGTAGTCGGAGTACCTTTTCTCCTTTTCATACCAACCTGCCCCCAAACTCCTGCCACCTCTGCCTGGGAGAGGAAAGCCAGGAATTGGGAAAGGAAAGTGGAACAAGAGAATCTTCTGGAGGTGTCAATAGAAGCAGACGTCCATTCGAGGTAGAAGTACACAGAGTTCCACTTCGTTGTAACAAGGATGAAAGGTTAAAAGTCCCAGTACATAGGCAAATATATTTAGTGGTGGAAAGTTGAGGAGTTTCTATCAGATGTCTTCTGCTTTAATTGTGAAATATGAAGTAAAGTTATCTGCCCTGAGGGGAGAAGTGGGAATTCAAACAATGAAAAAGTTTGAGCAAATAGTGGGGTTCGTCCAGAATTGGGGTTTTGCTAGATAATTTCAGTGAAAGGATCAAGGGTCAAGGGAATTTAGAATATAAGTAATCTGTTCTGATAGGAGGAAACTCAAGACAAAAGTGGCTGGTGGATGGGCAGAAAGGAGAGAGGAGGAGTGATGGGAATAACAGAGTAAGCTGGAGGGAGGGGGATGTAGCTGGAGGGCAGTCATCTGTACTTGTTATCTCAGGGAGGATGTCCAGGTCTAGGGTGAAGCTGTGAGAATGGAAGTCAGAGATGGGGTATGGAAGCTCACTACAAGATGAGGAGGTCAGAGAACTGAGTGCTCAGTGGTTAGATGGGTCAGATAGAAAGAATATGAAACAAATGTCAGGCTTCAATGACTGAGGAGGAGTGAGCAGAAAACCAAAAGAGAACAACATCATGGAAGGGCAGCAGGGTCTTGGCCTGATGACCTGGGCCTTCAGGGAGCAGGAATCCTGAGGCAGATGTTGGTGAGTTTTAACCTCATCCTCTCATCATTTTTCTTGCTGATACAGCCTCCCTTCCCCATTAGGTCACATGTATGAGCTCATGACCCAACCCCAGCCAACAGGACTAGGGGGCAATAAGATGGGGGCTTCTGGGAAAGATTTTCCTCCTTAGGAAATTGTAGGTGAGGAGAAATTGCACTTTCCACCTTTTGACATTATAGTAGGTTGAATAATTCCCCTGAGAGATATCAGGTGCTAATCCCTGGAACCTGTAAATGTTACCTTGTATGGAAAAAGGGTCTTTGCAGATATGATTAAGTTTAGGATCCTGAGATGGGGAGAATATCCTGAATTGTCCAGGTGGGCCCTAAATGCAGTCACAAAGTGACATTTTAAAAGAGGGATAGAGGGAGATTTGATATAGACAGAGAGAAAACACACACACACACACACGCACACGAGAAAGTAATGTGAAGGTAGAGTCAGAGATTGGAGTGATGTGGCCACAAGCCAAAGAATGTTGGCAGCTATCAGAATCTGGAAGAGGCAAGAAACAGATTATCCTCTAGAGCCTTCAGAGGGAGGATAGCCCTGCTGACACTTTGATGTCAGCCCAGTGACACATCAGACCTCTGGCTTCTAGGTCACACCAGACCTCTCTCACTGGCTTCTAGACCAGTGAGAGAATAAATTGTTGTTGTTTTAAGAACCAAGTTTGTGGTATTTGTTACAGAAGCCATAGGAAACTAATTCAGATGTAGCAGTGAGCGATGTGATGACTGGAGTGGCAGCAGCTATCTTGAAACCATGAGGACACAAACCTGAGGATAAAATTAAATTCAATATCCTGGAGAAGACAGAGTGGACAGATGGAAAGCCCTGTTGAATTAGCCACGTATCACTTAACCTTTTGACTTCTTATCATGTAAGATAATAAATGTCTTTATTGTTTATGGCTCTTCTGGTTGGATATTCTGTTACCTGCAGCCACAAGCATTCTAACTGATACAGGCCTATCCAAAAGGGTAGGAGAGTCTTGGTTGGGAAGCAGCAGTGGGTACTAAGGAAGAAATGTGACCCACTTTCTAACACTGAGAAGGGTGCATAAAATGAAAAATGAGCAGCTCCCATTTGAGTTAGGAGCAGAACAGGTAACTTGGGGAGAGTCAGAAGCTTAAGAAAATGGTTAGAGAAAAGATTGTAGGGATAGGGGCATTTGTTAATTATGCAATAGGCCTTTTCAAAGGCAGTAAAAGCTTAGGAAGAGGAAGATAATTGGGAGGTATTCTGAGAAAATGATTAGGTGAATCACGACACCGTATTGTTGTGATGAAATTACATAGAGAATATATATAATATAGGTAGAGTGGGGAATAAGGAGAGACTCGCACTTTGGTAGATTTAACCAGTCCCAGGGTTGCCAAGAAAACATTTCTACCAATGCCAGGACCAAAGTGGCTTTTAAACTTTAACGCTCATAAGGTTCATGGAGTTTGCTAAAAATCTTAAACATTCCTAGGCCCCAGGACCAAGATCCTGATTCAGTAGATCTCAGTAGGGTCCAGAAACCTGCATTTCTAATGAGTATCCCAAGCAATTCTACTGCAATTGATTTGAAACACACTGTCCAAAACACTTGCTTTCACATGTTTTTAACTAAAATCTGCATTAAGAAATACATGTTGTGGCATAAGCCACATGCACACACCCACACATATGCATGCACACACCTACAACCACAAACATGTGTACAAGGCAGGTAAAACAATCTGGCTTAACCAAATACACATTTATTTTTCATTTATACAAAATCCAAAGCTGATGTCCCTGGCCAGGTGACTCCATTTGGATGACACTCTTCCAAATGATGGCTCAGGGTCCAGGCTGCTTCCACATGTGCCTCTGAGATCATGTAGCTTCAAGATTGCCCTGGTGTCAGCTAGTGGCATATGGAAAGAAGAAAGCGTGGAGGAGCCTGTTGGGGGGCGGGGAGGGGTTTAAGGGCCATATCTGAAAGTGGTAGATATCTCTCCAGACACACTGTATCAGCTGGGTCTCAGTCACATGGCTGGTTGTCGAGGCTGGGAGAGGTCGAGGAGCCCACAGGTCCTGGTAAGCACCATCAGACTCTCCACTGTAGATAGACTAAGATGTGTGTATTTAACCAAGACCAAAGTTTCACAAAATAATACTCCTATCATATCCAAATCCTCTGATAGTTTTCTGTTTTGTTCCACCCCATTCTTTTCTACTTTATTTTTCAAAACGTCAGTCTTCACAACTAAATTGATCTCATGTTCAATGAAACTCAACAAGTCACAGTTTGGAAAGCATCATCCTGGAGGATGTTGCCATTTGGCCAATGGGGTGGGTAGTCCCACATTTTTGAGGGACTCTGTTTTCTTTGAATATATATTCAGCACCCCCACAGTCCGGCCCACTCAGTAAGTGGTCACCATCATTGCTCTCATGATTGTGGTGGTGAAAAATACAAAGGTTTCCCCAGAAATGACATTTTTTTTTTTTTTTTTTTTTTGCAATTAACAGCATGTAAGATAGCCTCCTTTAGGTTGTTTAAGACTTTAGAACAGAAACTTGCTAGTGGAGCAAAAGCAAGGAGTAAAAAGAGCTGGAGGACGCGTGTCTACACTGAGGGCAGAACGGAATCCACAGAGCGCCTCTGCTGCTGTGCTTACCGTGTGGTTCCCTTTCTCCCTGCACTTGGACCAGACACGTAAGATTCACCAGATGTGAAACCTTTGGAACCAGCTGGAAAAACCAGAAACCCGAAGCCATAGTAGACATCTCCATAGGGATTTCTTACCTCTTTTGGTCTGGACTGACCCAATGATAAGTTATTGAATTTGACCCTCGATTGTATTTCTGAAGCTCCAGGTTGGAAATGGGGTGAGTGAGTGAGAAGGAGCCACTCTGACTCCGGCTCCTCTCCACACCCAAACTCTTCTCACCCTTCCCAGCTGTCTCAGACACAGGCTTGGGGAAGGAAGAGATACACGCAGGGAATGGAAAAGAGGATTAGGAAAAGGTGTGGAGATGGCAAAAGGAAGGGAGAAGAGTGGGAGAGAGGAGAAGGGAAATCAGGGGATGTACTCCAGAGCAAATTTTTACCCCATGAAGAGAAAAAAAGAGGAAAGGCTGTTTAGCTTTCACTCCACCTCACACATGGATTTAGGAGAACACGACTACAGGACTCAGTTTTTGAAACTGTAGCTTCTGGAAGGATTCAGAATTCACTGAGTTTCATGAAAAATGAAAAGTTCCTGAGGAAAATGCTAAATATTATTCCAGAATCATAGAACAAGGACTGCTCACTTTAGACAGGTTAATGTGTAGCTCTTGGATAAAAATTTAGAAAGAGGCAGCTGTTTGGAAAGTCCAGCAGGGGCACCAAGCCAAAGACCTGGGGCAGCTCGCAGCCCAGCCTTACACTGGAGTAACCTGAGCCCTCAGAGAGTCCAGGAGGTGAGGCTACAGTCCAGCATTCTATTTTTAATTCACAGTGTGGAGATAAGAGTTAAATATAAAGCAGATTAAGACTTCCCTTAAATCTCCTCTATACAAGAAAAACTGGAATTAATCTACAGGAGCACTCCATGGATAGCTCAGTACCATCATTTTTAAAGAATAAAATTAGAAGCAGAAAACTGTGTCCTTATCTTTTTGACATCCAAGAATTATTGCCATCAAAGTACTACAGCCCATGAAATTACTTTCCAGGTTACACTCATTAGATTTAGCATTTTCATTCTGCAGACCTGTGGTTTTAACAGAAAAGAAAAGAAAAAAAAAAATCCCTCCCTTCATAGTACAACTGTCCCCATATACTGGCCCATTAATGGGATGCTAATGAATGCGGAAGTCATTGTAAAATCACAAATGCAGAACTGAGAAGCAGATTTCAAACATCGATAGGCCTAACCTTGTTTTGGAAATTTGGATCATGAGAGCATGGGACTCAGGTAGAGCATTGCAGCCTGTGTTTTCTGCACACTGCAGCTAAAGAGGCACTCAATTACAGGCTTGACTTTTAAGAAAATTTTAATCACATTATACAATCACCATTATGGGTTATACATTAAACAGATGCTAACCTAGCTACTGCAGCCTTTGTCACTGGAAGTGTTAACCACATAACACGGCAGCAGCAGAGCAAAGAGATTAAGAGTTCAGGCTCTAGAGCAGTTGGCCAGGGTATGAACCCAAGCCCTACCAGTTACTCACTGTGTGACCTTGGGCAAGTTGCTTAATCTCTCTGTGCCGGTGTTTCCACTTTTGTAAAACGGAGATAATAATAGTCCGTGCCTGCAGTAAGGATTAATTGAGAAAATGTATGCAAAGCACTAAATCAGTTCATGGCACTATAGTGTGTGCTCAACAGCAGTTGGTGGTTGTTAGTATTATATTGTTGGAGACGTAAGAGAAATGAATCTGAAATGGCTCTGCACTCTGGTGGCTGAGTTCAAACCTGCTGAGGTGTCTGGTCTTCATGACATCTCAGGCCTCATGCTGCAGAGGAAGAGGAACCAGTCACCTTTCTCTGATGGTCTTCGTGTATCTGAATCCATTGCCATGCGCTGAGCCTTGCATGGTGTGTAATGCCTTGGTTTGTGTATTTACAGGATGCTTTTCTGAACAACTCTCTGTTTGCATGATGCCTTTAAATACACACAAGAATTACAAGGCAATCCTCTGTTTGTAGCCTACATGAAGACCAGTTGGAGAGATTTCAAACACCCAGGAGATTGAGCAAACTCATTATGGGGTCTAATATAAGAAGGAACTGTATGTATGAGGAGCTGCTAGGATGCAAAGATGAGTAAGAACTGATCTCTGCTTTCAAATCATCAATTAGCTGAGGGGCACAGTTAAGACACAGGTGGATTGACTTATGTGCTATCCAAACAACACAAACCCATTGTTGTGGAGTCTCCAAAGATGAAACACCAAACAAGACACACTTTAGAGAGCAGCACAGCACTCATCGATTTCACAAATATCTACTGGGCAGCATCATTTGCCAGGTTACTATTCTAGGTGCTGGGATATAGCAGTGAACAAAAGTCCCTGCCCTCGTGGAGCTGACATTCTAGTGGGCAAAAGGACAATACATAGAAAAGCACAAGAGTACGTGTATATACACACATATACACATGGGTAGTACGTCAAGGCGTGCTAAGTGTTACAACAGAAGGGGTAACAGGTTAGGGAGTGACAGGGAAAGGAGGGGCTATATGACAAGCTGCTAATCATGAGGTAAAGGAAGTTAGAGAAAGAAACAGATGAGGACTGAGAGCATCCTGAGAAAATTCTGGAAGCTGGGTGGGCAGGAAGGCCATCGTAGAAGGAGTGGGGGAGCAGGTTGTTCTAGGTATGGGATTTAGAGAGAGCAGAGAATGGCCAGAGACAGGAGGAGGCCAGAGGAGAGGCAGGTGCCCCCAGGGTGGGCACAGCACCTCTGGGTACCAGGTTTCCCAGGGACCTAAAGCCAGAGTCATACAGGTCATTCGGTGTAACTCTCAAGAGCTACTGCAAGCTGCCTGATGAAAAACATAAGCAGTCCCAGTTTTTATTTCAGCTGATGAACAGGAACCAGGGCCAAAGGATGGCACCACCAGCCTAGTAACACTAACACTTCTTTTTTTTTTTTTTTTTTTTTTTTTTTTTTTGAGACAGAGTCTTGCTCTGTCGCCCAGGCTGAGACAGTCTTGCTCAGCCCGCCCAGGCCTGGAGTGCAGTGACACGATCTCAGCTCACTGCAAGCTCCGCCTCCTGGGTTCACCACCACTCTTCTCCCTCAGCCTCCCGAGTAGCTGGGGACCGGTGCCACCACCCACCTAATTTTTTTATTTTTTTCCAGTAGCTAATTTTTTTTTATTTTTTCAGTAGAGACGGGGTTTCACCATGGTCTCGATCTCCTGACCTTGTGATCCACCCACCTTGGCCTCCCAAAGTGCTGGGATTACAGGCGTGAGCCACCGCGCCCGGCCAACACCAGACACATTTTCTAACTCTCATTGCCACTTGTCACAAATAACCTCCAATACCGCCTGCTCTTACATGTAGAATCTAAGCAAGCTGAACTTATAGAAGCAGAGCGTAGAACAGTGTTTGTCAGGGGCTGGGAGAAATGGGGTCAAACATCTCATCTATGCTAGGATGAAAACAGTCTGCAGATCTAATGTACAGCGTGGTGACTGCAGTTAATAATAATGCATTGTATACTTGAAATTTGCTGAGAGAGTAGATTCTAAGTATTCACACACACACACACACACACACACACACAGATATGGTAACTTTGAGGTGATGGAGATGTTAGTTGACCATAGTAATCATTACACAATATGTATGTGTATCAAAACATCACATAGTACACCTTACATGTATATTATTTTCATTTTAGGAAAAAAAAGAACCTCCAAATGTGCCTCTCTCCATGTGCTAGAGAAGAGCCTTCTGCAGCCACACATTCCCCCTTCCAGTCTGGTCACATCTGGGAGCCCCTCCCAGCTCCTGCTCCCCCATTTCAAGGAAGGCTGCGCATCACTTCTCCGCTCACTCCCATGGTGGCTGGGTTTGAGGGCATTGTGCTTGGAGTGATGACACCAGAGCCACATGGAGAAGGAGCAAGGTGGCCTCCAAAGGAAAGGAAGCTGGGCTAGGGCAACTGTCCACCACACATGGGGTGTGTTTCCGTGTGTGTGTTTGCTGCCTCTGCTGCCTCTTCCGTCAGCAGCATCCAGAAGCCGTCGCCTCTTCTGTGGCCTGAGTGCTCACCTCAGCAGCCTTCCCCATCCCTCTGGGGTTTGCTGCCTCGAGTCGTGAGTCCAAATACATAAGCCTTTAAGAAACACCCGGCATATAAGCACAGAACGAGAGCTTAAAGAGGACCCCTCAAACCTTGGGCTTCTGAGAGACCATTTCTAAAAATGGTGTCTGTGTTTCTGTGGGTTGAGTTAGCTGAAATTCTAATGGGCACCATTAGAATGCTCTGTATGAAGTAAGTGTAATTCCTTAACGTGAAATAGAATGGCCGAACGTCACGTGAGTTTGCCCGCCTTGCAAACTCACAGGAGGCAGTCCAATCCGCAGAATCTACAAGATATGCTATTTCCATAATTTTTTTTCTTTTGTAATCAGGTTAGCCTACAAGTCAGTATCTCTGATATGCAGACTCTACAATAAGCAGCTCCCATGGAAGCCCACTAGCTTTGCGCAAATTGAACTATTTCATTTCAATAACCAGTACATTCTATGTCTCATTGATAGAAATTGCTGTTCGGAGGTTTGTCAATTCGCTTATTCATTTTTTTTTCAACACATATGTTGAACACATAATATGTTGAACACATAATATGTGCTAAGTACAATGCTACGTCCTAGAGGTTCAAAGGAAGATAAGGTCCTTGTCCATCCACAGGTATATGCTACATCTTGGGCTTCTTAAATGGGGTTTTTAAAACTCCAGCAGAAAAACTCTGATTCTGGCAATGCTGTAAGAAATTTGTTTTTATTAGTTCTCTTTTAGGCACTGTACCTTATTTTAACAATCAAATCATTGAGCACATAGCAGGGAAAAAAAAAAGCAGAAAAAAGTTATATGGAATCATTCTTTGAAAGGCCTAGATTATAAAATCAGAATATAAGGTGAAAATCATGAATAACCACAAGTAGTTTTGAAATTCCCTTATGCAGGTACCATGCTGGAAACCAACACACACCATATCCGGGTAAATCAAACCCAGCTATCATTTCTTCTAGCTTTTGTTAGGCACTAGATTAAATGGTTGACTTGCATTTAGAGACAATATTGTTGATAAAAACATGTCTTTAAAATGCTAGGATTGCATTCAGTGTCTAATAAACTGAGTCAGAATGACAGTACAACAGACTGATGTGTAGAATATTCTGAAATAGTAACTGATGAATTACATTTGCACTTGGTAATTCTAATGGCCCTGCAGCTCTGAACCACTGAATCACAGGCATCCATCGCATCACATGAGGATGGGCCTTTAAGCTGCCACCTGCCTTCCTACTCTCTCCTTGTAGTGAAGAAAGGTAGCTGAGGGTTCCTGAGCTTCCCAAGGAGGATTCAGACATCCTGAAGGGACCACTAGACCAGAAGAGGCCTGGGTTGGGTCAAGGGCAATGTGTAGAGTGTGGACTTGGAACCTGAACGGCCAACCATCAGCAGTGGGATGGTGTCACAGTGCCCACAAACTAGGAAGGAGAAGTCCCACCTCAACTGAGGTCAGCACAGACCAGAGGAGAGCACGTAGAGCTGAACAGATATGTTGATTCTCCCCTGTGAAGAAAAGCAGGAGAGTAGGAAGAAACCTGTAGTGCCCAAATGTGCACCCAAAGAGACTAAATATTAAACTAGAAGTGCCCGAGTTATTTTGAAATAACAATATTTTTACATTGCCTACCAGAAATGGGGGCTTGAGAGCTACGTCGTGTTCAGTTATAGAAAAACAAAGCTACGTTTCTACTCATGAATAGTGCTGTATGTTGTAAACCTGCTACATATCCCAACCATAACCTCAATGACGGAAATGGCGGAAGCACCAGCACGATTAAATGAGTTCTCCTTATGTACTGAGAGAAATATACATTGAATTTTCATAGCGTAAATGCATATAGGACATCATCTCCTCATCCTCTTTGATCCTACATTCCTATGCCACATATAACACTAAGCTCAGAGAACACAATAGTTTGCTTGGATACACAAAATACGTAGCATGTATCCACTAATACTCACACCCATCCAAACTCACCAAAAGCACAAGAGAAATGAGAAGTTTTGTTTCTTAACTTTGTGCTTAACACCCTTTGTGGTTTTTTTGTTTGTTTGTTTGGTTTTGAGACAAGGTCTCACTCTGTCGCCCAGGCTGGAGTGCAGTGGCATCATCTCAGCTCACTGCAACCTCTGCCTCCTGGGCTCAGGTAATCTTTCCACCTCGGCACCCACCCCACCCTGTAGCTGGGACTACAGGCATGGGCCACCATGCCTGGTGGCTGATTTTAGTTTTTTAACAGAGATAGGATTTCGCCGTGCTGCCCAGGCTAATGTCAAACTCCTAGGCTCAAGCAAGTGATCTTCCCACCTCGGCCTCTCAAAGTGTTGGGATTACAGGCTTGACTGGGTTTTAATGAGACTGAATATTTTGTCATTTGGGTTTCTTTCTTTCTTTCTTTCTTTCTTTTTGAGACGGAATTTTGCTCCTGTTACCCAGGCTGGAGTGCAATGGTGTATTCTCGGCTCACCGCAACCTGCACTTCCCGGGTTCAAGCGATTCTCCTGCCTCAGCCTCCCGAGTAGCTGGGATTACAGGCATGTGCCACCACTCCCGGCTAATTTTCTGTATTTTTAGTAGAGACGGGGTTTTTCCATGTTGGTCAGGCTGGTCTCGAACTCTCAACCTCAGGTGATCTGCCCGCCTTGACCTCCCAAAGTGCTGGGATTACAGGCATAAGCCACCATGTCCAACTCACATTTCTAACTCTAAAAACTACTCTAGAATCATATTATATTCTATCTTGTTATCCAATATTAAATGGGGCACAGATGTTCAGTACATTTTTATTGATTAATAGATTAAAGAACTATGTTTATAAACTGGATTGGTCGGCAGGAACTGGGGCAGGTTATATATTAATATCTTAATGCGAACTAAGATATGGAAATTTATTTGGATAATGTAATATTGACATCCTACCCAACCCTGAAATCCCATGATTTCTAGTTCAAACTACCTAGCATAACAGTAGATTCATCCTTAGGCATAAAAGACTATTGATTCTCTTGTGGAGAAGCAGCGTTCTCTTTCACCATCCTCAGTCTAGTTCTCCAAAATGCTATTTTTAAGAAGCCCCAGCTAAAAGGCAAACAGCACAGTGGGTTAGATTTGGTGTTGGAAAGGTGGAAATAGATCTTTCCTTGTTGAGAACTACTCAATTCAGTAGAATAGGAGACAAAAACCATTTGTGCCGTCCAGGGCCAAGCTCAGTGAGGCTGTTAAAGGTAGAAACAGAAAACAAATCTATCACGGAACCTCAATTAGCTTTAGGGGGCAGTGTCTCAGAGCCATCTCCATGGAGAGGAGGCCACTTCTCTCAGTGACCAGGACACAGTCTCACAGCTGCTCGGGCCTCGAGGGCCTAAGGAGACAAAGTGAGCAGAGGTGAGATCATGTTCTGTAGAGATCATGGTGCCTGCAAATGTGCCCCTGTTCTCACATGCTGACAGGCTGCCTGGAAGGAGCCAGCCCAGCTGTTAGGTCTGGTGGCAGTCTATTTAACCTGACCATACTGGGAGCAAAATCCCAGCTCTCCTGTTAGTGAGGCATTTTCCAGGTAAAAGCTCTTTATGCATTTGGTTCAGTGGTTATTTGCGTATCAGGAAGGGCTGAGAGAATGGCAGGTAGATACGCCCATCCTTTCAAGGAAGATACACCCACCCTTTCAAGGAAGAAAGTTGGATGTTTTATGGCTAGAGACACTATGATACTTGCAACCAGAGTCATAGCTAACAACTAAGAGTCTCTAAATCATATTTATCATAAAATTCTAGAGTCGAAAGAGATTTCAGAGATTGTCTAGTTTTAGGAAAGAATCAGAAGCCCAGAGATTAAGCAACTTGTTGAAAATTACACAACTATTTCATGGCAAAACCAGGACAAAAACCCAAATGGCCTAATTGCTAATCCAGGGATCTTTTCATCACACCTAACAGCTGTTTGAGAACATACAGGACAGCTCTCCCTTGCTCACTCCTCTGTCTTTATATTCCTCTTCCCCCTAGTGTCTGAAAAGGGTGTTTGGTGGGTAAATATCTGGAGGGCCTCTGAAGATTTTGTTTAGAAGGTCTTCGTTTGCTCCCAACATCCTTCCATCATTTTGTGACATTTTTCTGAATGTATTAATTTTTCTAATCTTTAAGATTAAAAAAATAACTCAGATGATATAGAAATAAAAAATAGAAGTTCTCATAATTTTCAACCTTTGGAGATAGCCACATTAAAGATTAGATGTACATTCTTCCCGAAGTTTATGTATATGAAGATTTTACACGCACACACACACACCCCCCCCATATGATATGATATATGAGTTGTTAACAATTTATTAAGTTTTCGCTACTTTAAAAGAAGCATGCTATTCATTCTTAGTGGATGGGAGATAAGCTATTGAATATCTACTAAGCGTGAGATTTCTTACCCAGGAAGTCTTTGTTAATGAAGTCTACCCTTCATTAACCACCCTGTTGCATCCACTGTTAACATATTCTTTTGTTTTTCAGCCCCAAAGATGAGAATTTAAGCTGGATCTCCTAGAGGAGTTGGGATCAAGGTTATGTACTTGGAGAATAAGAGAGAAGAACCCAGCGGGGCACGGTGGCTCACACCTGTAATCCTAGCACTTTGGGAGGCCAAGGCAGGTGGATCACCTGAGGTCATGAGCTCCAGACCAGGCTGGCCAACATGTTGAAACCCTGTCTCTACTAAAAATACAAAAATTAGCCCGGCAAGGTGGTGCATACCTGTAATCCCAGCTACTTGGGAGACTGAGGCAGAAGAATCACTTGAACCCGGGAGACAGAGGTTGCAGTGAGCCAAGATTGTACCACTGCACTCCAGCTTGGGTGACAGGGTGAGACTCCGTTTCAAAAAAAAAAAAAAAAAGAGAGAGAGCGAGAGAGGGAGAGGGAGAAGGACCTAACCTTTGGGACAGGGAGGAGGAGAGTTGCTTTCCAGAAGACAGTAGGGTGGGATTGATGAATTTACCTAAAACTCAGGAGCTGGTAGGAACGCCAATAGCCATGGTTCTGCCTGAACCCAGGTAGGCCAGGAACTCAGCATCCCGAGTAGGGTTCTCAGTGAAGATAACACTGCTAAAACCTGGCCATGGGGAACATAAACACTGCCAGAGCAGTTGCTCACGACAAATGGATTACATGGTCAGGAAATCCAAGTTCTCAGAGATAAACCCAACTAACTGATAACCAGGGACTTCATCCCCATTCTCTTTGACCTCTAGGTCCTAGAGTTCTTGTATAATTCCAAATGGGTAAGAGGAACTCCCTGAGAAAATGACAGATAAGATTTCCCAGCAACCCTGATGTAGGGGACAGAGTCTTATTGAAATTAATTTAGAAAAATAAAAGCATGTGATGACTCTCTTACCTATGAGCTGTGGAACAAATCAAACATGCAACATATGTGATGCAATAGGAT